TTTTAAATACTTTATATCTAAATATTTTTTGATTAGTTTGACAATTTAGATTCAAAATTATAATTTAACTAATAGAAAATAATATTGTATGTTAAATAATATTTTAAAATTATGATTTTTTTATTTATTTTATAGATATATTATTTAATTATTTGATTTTTATATTTAACTTTATATGATTTGTAGATGTTTATATTTAATTTTGATTAATAAATAAAAACTTATCATATTATTAATTAGTGAACGTGATAATTTACTAAACAAAATCACATTTTATTAATTTTAATATTTTAATTTTTATAAATGAATAGTAAGTTTTAACAAATTTTATAATTTCAGATAAATAACTTGAAAAGATGTTTTTTAAAAAAATCTCATAAATTTTTTTTAAAGAATCTCATAAGACTTAAATCTCAAACAATAATAATAAAACTCAAATGATAGTATTCAATAATGTTCTTCAAAGTAAAATCACTTTAAATTTAATCTAAATATTATTTCAATAAATTATTTATCAAAATTTTTTTTTATCATGTTAATGACATCACCTATAAAAATTTCTAGGTCCGCTCTTTTATCATCGTAGTAACCCGCCTGAGCAGAGCCCAAGCTGACGTTACTCACTTTACGAATAGGCAGCAGCGCCGCCGCAGAGAAAACGCCCACCTCCCTCCTCTCCTTTTCTCTTCCCAAAACTTAGATAAAGACCCAAACAGGAAAATAAATTAAAGCGGAAAACGAAAATAAAACAGAGCAGAAGTGCCGAGCTCAAACTCTTACCTTAATATAAGAACCGGCTTCAAGCTTTCAACCTGTTTAGACAAAACCGAAACTCGAACGTAAATTTAAAAGGTTCCAGAAATGCATGGAAAAATTAAAAAAAGAAAGAAAGAAAGAAAGAAAGAAAGAAAGAAATGGAAATTGTATTATACTTCAATCATATAGAACTTCTATCTCCTTTCAGGCTCGAAGAAAGCAAACACCTCTCTAATCTAGGCCATCACGATTAACTTGTTTGACATCAAATTCATTTTAATCACCGAGAAACATATACAAAAACGTAAGAACAACGGTTTCATTTACGATTTTCCTTCACTTTCTTATCAACCAAACAAAACAGAGAAAAGAGAAAAAAGAAAACTCAAAACAATCAAAAACAGAATCACGAGAGAGTGTAAACCCACAGCTGTCAAACAAAATTAATACTTAGAAATAAAAAGGATGCAGAACTTAAAAAAAAAAAAGGGGAATTCTAACCTTGAAGCGATAGGAGGAAGGCAGTGACTCGGTGACTCAGTTTGTTATTTTGCTCAATCACTACTCGAAAACAGGAAGGGCTTTGGGTCCTATTTATATTATACGTGAAGGGTTCACTCAACTACAAAAACTAACCAGGGTTACCCGCCCACAGTTAACAATGTTGATCGTCCATTTTTATGCAAGGAAAAAGGAGCATTCATCACAAGGAAGTGTACGACGTGGCTCTCCGTCGTTGGCTGAGCTCATGCAATCCGGTGGAAGCAGAGGGAGTTGTCAAAAGACTTTACTTGGGCCGCCAACCCACCAGGAAGCTTCCTCTTTCCCCTTAATTGAATTGAAATACGCCTTTAAATTTGTTTTTGACGAAGTCAACTCAAAATTTACATGGGTTGCCAACTCTGTCATTGGCTGATTGCTACCATGCAATGAAACAACTTATTGAAAATAAAATTAATGATATTAAGTAGAAAAGTAAGAGAAATAAATACAAGATAGTTAAACTTAAAATATCTTACCTCAAATTACTAAATATTTTTTTTATAATTTATCCTTATATTAAAGCATAAATATTAAGAAATCTTTTTTAATAAATAACACCAAGTCAATTTACCAATAAAACTTAAATCATTACCAACTTTTGGCATCAAAGTGAATCCATTTTTTTATTTAATTTATTGTTTACATTATATAAGCATAAAGAGTATTTACCTTTCTAAAACTTATGCTACTTTGTTTTATGTCTAAATTGAAAGACTATTTTAAAGTTTTAATGTACTTAACATTACCAGCTAAATCATCAAATTCTAACACTTAAGTCATGATCTATACATTTATTTAGGTAAAAAAAGTTATTCTAAATAATGTTCGTGAATAATTGAATAAACGAAAGTAAATTAAAATCTTGAATTTTTCAGTTTTATATATAGAGGAGAATAAATGGTTTCAAATTACTCCCTAAATTTCTTCGAATTAAGGTGGTAATAGTAATATAGTACTAGATTAAGTGTATGATTCTAATTTTACGTGCAAAATTTTACTATACCATAATTTTATTTACTACTTTCTGGGTTTCTTTTTTATAGGTCAAATCGGTACTTATAATCTGAACCGTCCATCACGGTGATAACGCTGGGCCCCTCATGGTGATAAGGTGGGGCAATAAGAGAAGAGACTTGGTCAACTATAATTTATTTAAGTCTGGTCTCCTAGATGGACAGAATAGATACTTGAAAGGGTTAATGTATTTGTCTACTTGGGGTCAAAAAGAGTAATGAAATTAGGAAGGCATGTATTCGAAAATAATCTTCATTAAATAAAAAGATAATTTAATTTTAAAATTTTAAAAATACTGTGAGGTATAGTAACTGTAATTTAAATACTCATTTTTTGAACTTAAATGTTCATTTTATATATGAATATATTAACAAATAAAAATTTAATGCATTGTCATTGTATAAATATATGTACTATAAGTGAATTAAATGTTATTATCTCATTAATAAATAAATTTTAAAATTAATATTTTTAAAAATAATACTTATAATCTAAATTAATAATTATTTTAAAAAATTTAAAAAATTTTATATTTACATGTTCAAGAAGTGACACTTTACTGCGTAGCTTACCTTCAGTCCGGCCCAATCTCAATTTTCAAGCTGTCAGCCCAAAATGAACTGCGAGTGCCGAGCGGCATAAAAGAGGCGCGTGGCTGAGTTGAGTTGCGAAAATGGAGGCCGAGTTGAAACCAAGCGACCAGCTATGTAAGGTTCTTAGATTCCGGCATTTACCGATTCCCAACTCAAATGCCGTCTTCATCGACCCGGTTAGCGTGTTCAACCGATTCTACTCCCGGTTTAAGGTATCTCCTTCTGTCTGCTACTCCCGTTTCTTTGAATCCAAACACCCCACTCGAGAATCCGCTCTCTCCTCCAATCCAAAGAAACGGAAACGAAAACCGAAGAAACAACCTCACTCCCTCCATGAAAAAGAACAAGCCGCCGATCAACGCCACTAGGTAATTCATCGACCAATCATGTAAACGGTCTCTTAGAAGTTTAATTTGTTTTTTAATTTATTTTTCCTGTTTCTTGTAGGAGGCGAGGCCTGTGTTGTTAAAGGCGCATGAACTTTTACTTGGAGCGGCTGATTTTTCAGCGATTATGAGCAAATTCAGGAGCGAGTTTTGTTCTTCGACGGAATTATGCGGCGGCGAAGAACATTCGTTCATTGAGCTTGGAAGAGTGTGGCAAGCTCCTTTACAAGATACAACTCTCGATTTTAAACTTAATCGGTTGACAAACGACAGTGAAAATGGAGGTTTGGTTCACTGATTTAATGATTAAAGTAAAGTGTTATTCCCTTTTTTCATTATCAGAGAGAGATGTTTTAACAGAAATTTCCAGTTCATGTCATTTGGCTATAATAATATCGAATAATAAATAACGTTTCAAGTGATTTTGGATTATAAAATGTATGGCACTGTATGAATATTATATATCAAGTATAAATTTTTTTTAACGTTGTTACTCCTATGATTACATGTACACAAGGAAGAACAATGATGGCATTGTTCGGGAAGTGGAAGACTGTATCATTATTTAGTGGACTTTTGGCCATGATCACACAGGATTAAAATAAGTTTGAGATTTTTTAGTTGAAGGAGGATTGCAGCCACGTGCGAAAACTAGCAGTTCATGGATTCTTCTTGGATAATCTGCCGACCTTTGAGGTCAGAATTCAGCCCGACGAGGGATGACTAAAGGTAAGAAATCCCTTTCAAGCACGTAAAATAGGCTTTGAATTGAACCACCTCGGACTCCCCTGCTGGTCTATATAGGCGTGGCAAATTTGACTTCTCATGTCAAGTTCCTCCTCCTTATCTATTTGCGCCACCAAAAAGTCGAATCCAAAAACAAAGGTAAACAAAATAAAGGTGCAACATTTAATTAATTAACATTGAGATAAGACTAATATTCATGCAAATTTGATCTTACAGGCCTACCTTTCCAACATTCACTTGCAAGGAAATGTTTGCCTTAACATTCTTCGCGCAGACTGGAAGCCAGTTTTAAACATAAACACCATCATTTATGGTTTATATCACCTATTCACGGTGTATATATATCCTTCTTTCACCTGTAAAAAGCTGTTGATTTGATCCTTAATTGATTAAACTACCTGTAATTGTGCATGTTTGAACAAGGAGCGACCCAATCATGGAGATCCCCTGAATAAGGATGCAGCTGCATTGTTGAAGGCTAATCCAGAAAAGTTCGAAGCCAATGTGAAAGAGGGTATTAGCTGGTGGGTATGTTGGAGGAGCCTATTTCCATGGATGTACATGAACATCCAATCTGTAAGCAGCAGGAACAGAGTAAAACAAGTGACGTGGTGACGGTTGTTATATTTAATTTTTAATTTTTATACTATTATATATATAATATATATATCCTTATAATTATCATTTAATCACTTTTTATTTAAAATCCTGAGTCACAAGACGTAATTGGATTCATTTTCTTCGTTGTTTTTAAAGTTAGAACTGGAATGATTGATCAGCTGGAGAAGAGGTTATGAAATTGGCTAAGAAGGAATCCACTGATGTTAAGACCCTTCTACGAGACCGGATAAAACTGATGAGATGATAATCTGTCTGACACGCTCATATCCGGTGTGGGTCCCATAACGACTTGGTCCCACCTGCCTTTTGTACAAAAATTATTTGGTCATTACTCGTAACGTACGTGGAACTTTCACGCGCCCACCCCCTTCGCACTTTTTTCCCGCCTCCCCAGGTTACCCTCAACATTTCCCACTTTTTCTCATCATCCCCCTAATCCAACGCTCTCAAATTGCTCTCTCTCCTTCGCAATATACCCCACCGCACTATATAATTTCCATATAAAGAAAGCTAACACAAGGGAGAGAGAGAGAGAGTTTCTTTTTATTTCTTTTTCTTTTTTCGGTTTGGGTCTCACACAGAGAGCGAGAGATTCTTCCTTCTAACATTTTTTTTTGTCCAGCGAAGGAAAAGCGTATTCCTCGTGAGCCTCTGCACTGCCCTTTCCTTCCTTCTTTCCTTCTCGTTTTTTTAGTGATCCTCTACGTCGCACCCAACGCTCCCCAAATCTGCACCGTCGCCGCTGCTGGTAGAGTCAGAGAGATGACGTCAGATGGTGCGACGTCGACCCCGGCGCCGAGGAGGAAGCCGTCGTGGAGGGAGAGAGAGAATAATAGGAGAAGAGAGAGGAGGAGGAGAGCTATTGCTGCTAAGATATATACTGGGCTTAGAGCTCAAGGAAATTACAATTTGCCCAGCACTGTGATAACAATGAGGTTCTGAAAGCTCTTTGTACAGAGGCTGGTTGGGTCGTTGAAGAAGATGGCACTACTTATCGGAAGGTAATCTCTCTTTCTTTTCACTTTGTACAGAATGCTAGATCTGTACGAAGAAGCTGTTAATTTTTTTACTCCTCTGGTCATTTCTTTGTTCTAATTTAGTTGGATCTAGTTCTCATCTTGATTTTAGTTTTGTTTTGCTTTCTGGGTTCTTTTGATCTGCTCAGTTTCTGTTTGATTTTGCTTCTGTTTATTTGCTTGGAAATATTGGGTTAAAAGAAGAGAAGTCATTGTTATGGAACGAGAAGTTGCTAATTAGACAATTATTCTCTGATCTGTTTTGGAACTTGAACTTCATTAATAAGAGTGACTGAAATGAAATGTTGATGAACAAATTTTCCCGATTAGCTTGTAGTTATTGCTCTCGCTCTTGATTGATAAAGCATTTTCTGTTAATAATTTTTAGTTTTTAATTGTATTTGTTGTTCAGGGATGTAAGCCACCTCCAATTGATATACCAGGCAGTTCAGCTAAAATTACTCCATTTTCTTCGCAAAATCCGAGTCCACTATCTTCTGCCTTTCCAAGTCCAATTCCTTCCTGTCAAGTCAGTCCTTCCTCCTCTTCCTTCCCTAGTCCAACTAGGCTTGATGCTAATAACCCGTCTAGTCTCCTTCCATTCCTTCGAAGTGCCATTCCTTCATCTTTGCCTCCTCTCAGAATCTCGAACAGTGCCCCTGTGACGCCGCCGCTTTCATCTCCAACTTCAAGAAACCCTAAGCCAATTCCCAACTGGGAAGCCATTGCTAAAGAGTCCATGGCCTCTTTTAACTACCCTTTTTATGCTGTATCTGCTCCAGCTAGTCCAACCCACCGTCATTTTCATGCTCCGCCACTATACCTGAGTGCGATGAATCTGATACATCCACTGTTGAATCCGGTCAGTGGATAAGCTTTCAAAAGTTTGCACCTTCTACATCTCAAATGCCGACTTCTCCAACATTTAACCTTGTGAAACCTGTGGTTCCACAAAGTTTGCCCAATGATTTAATCATGGAGAAAGGGCGAGGTTCGGAGTTTCAGTTTGAGAGTGGACAGGTGAAGCCGTGGGAAGGAGAGAGGATTCATGAAGTAGGACTGGATGATCTGGAGCTCACGCTTGGAAGCGGGAAGGCTCGGTGTTAAACTAAGTGAGGCTAACAGTCAAAATGTTGTTCTGAAAGTACGTTAAAACAGAATAAAAAGCTGTTTTGCTCATTCCCGGTTCACACAGTCAGATATCCAAGGGCATTCTCAGTTCGGTTGTCTCATCTATTCAATGAAAAGTGGACATCTTAAACCAAAGGTGGGAGGAGTTACATTTTCATCTGCGACTGTTCCTTTTTTTTTTTTTTTGCCCTTTTTCAGTCAGTTGATGCTCACATTCCCTGGTTGAATTGTTAGGGAATTGGGTTGTTTTTACAAGCATTACCTGTAGATACTGTGGGATCTTTCTGGTTGTGATAGAGTTCGTTTAATCTTTCCTTTAGGCTTTGTAGGTTTGGGTAAAACCTCACAGAATTAAATTATTTTTAGTGGTTTGTATTGTTAATGGATGTATCATGTTGTTAAGCAAATTTTTCTTTCTATTCAGTGTCGAAGTTTTCATTGTCTTTACATGGTAATCAACCTACAATCAAAACTTGAATCCTAAACCAGGAAGAAAATGGAGAATTTATTGCTTCAATAGTCATTCTATATGGACCTCCCACCGACCACCAAGATTTTATTTTACATAAGAGTTGGCTGCCTCTAGAGTGGGGATTGCCCCCAACAAACCCCACGTTCACTCAATGATCTGATAATAATACACATCTCATAAAACATGGAAGAAAATGTGTAGGAATTTAGATTGCAGAGCTGTACTGCAAGACCATTCTCCACTGACTGATTGGAGTGGTCGGGTCTTACCCATATCTCTTAAGAATTCAGATGATTGAGCCTCAGACCTTCCCGCTTGTTCTCATTCGGGCCTTGGGCCATCAGCCATGTAGCTTTCTGTCATCATCGCACCAGTTATCTAATTATCTTGTATGTGAAGTTTGATGGTTGCAGCCTTTTCAGTATTCATTAGACCAGATAACGTTCCATACAATTGGTCAAAGATACCACCACAACGAATTTCTATAAGGATCAAATTTTATTACAATAACCAAATGAGGAGAACAACGGGTTTAAGACAATGTTACAAAAGCTCTACAAAGACTACGGAGATAAACAAGGCACATAGCATAGGAAAAGAATTCTTTCATTGTACAAAGACTTCTCTGGTTAGGTAGATGATACAGAGGAGGATGAAGAAAGATGCTACAATGCCATACGGAGATGGAAATACTAACCCAATCATTTCGAACATCTGGTCTTCATTCTCTTGCTACAATCTTCTCACTACTAAGATCTTAGTGATTAGTCAAGAGAAAAGGTGTGTGGCTCAGGCATTCACTAACAAGATAAGCGCATGTTCTCCACATCTTTGGTTAGCCTTTCGATTTCTGGTTTTATATCCTTTTTGACATTTGCATTGCATTCTTGGTATCTGAAGCAAGTCACAAGATGATCGTTAACAATTCCTGCCACTTGCATGAATGAATAAACAACAGTCGGTCCCACACAACGGAAGCCTCTCTGCATCATATCCTTGCTAATGAGTTCAGCTTTTGGGGTCTTAACTGGTACTTGACGCACATAACGGAACCCATTTCTAATTGGCTTGTGGTTTACAAATCCCCAGCAATAGCTGCTGAAGGAACCAAACTCCTGCTGAACCTGCAATATTTAACAAACCATAGGCTTTAGCACATAACAATTTCTTGTGCTACTTTCACAGTTGATTCAGCACCTCTAGGCAGCTTGATGCCCCATGTTTTAGTTTGTTTTGTGTGCGAAGGGAGGAAGGGGAGGGAAGTTTGCAGACTCAACAAATTAGCAGAGTATCACCAGTCAAACTTGTCAACACTTGCTATTATATCAGACATGAAACTACCATCTAAGGATAATACATTTTTCATTTTGTGAATGTGTAAAAGATATAAGACTAATATCAAACGACTGTCTAGGTGGTATGAAGTCAAAGCATTCAAAATGCTTTCATGCTTTGTCAAGTCCACACTATGTGGCACTGGCATGCACTTAAACAAGGGAGGATGAAAGACTTGATGCTATGCCCTGATTGCCCCTGTTTTTCTACTCGTTTTCCCTGGTCAGATAACCACATAATTACCTTAAGCATCTGTTTAGCATTCTCCACTACTGCACGGAGCTTTGGTTCAGAAAGCAATAGGCTACCGTTAACTTTCAACGACAGCAACTTCTTCTCAGTAAACTGTGCAACTGATGATGGATCAAAATTGTCAAAAAGCTTCCTGCAAAAGAATCCAACCATAAACAAAGAACACTGATCAAACGCATGAATATCTTCTTCTTCTTCACTATTTCTTGTTTCCTTTTATAGTTGACATCTTTGAAAAGTAAATAAATAAATAAAGAGAAGAAAAATTAAAGAGAGGAGGAAAAAGAGAGAAATCAAGGTAGTATCTAGTTCATGTACTAGTTCAACTATTAGAGAGACTAGAGACAGAATACCTGAATATGTCTCTCTTATTGAGAATTGTCGACCAGCTGAGTTCAGCTAAGGCTTGTGAAAAGACCAGCAGCTCAAACAGCTTCCAGTCATCATGAACTGGAACACCCCATTCTTTGTCATGCAAAGAAGTATAAAGCGGGTCTGCATAAATAATGAAATTACAAATTTTCGATTTTCTCTCAAGACAAGATCAAAGACAGGTCAAAGATGAAATGATGTGAGAACGAAACACAAATGCATCTAGTGTTATTGTTAAAAGCTTCAAAAACACTAGAAAAGTTAATGAATTAGACACTTATATGTTGTATGCTACAAAATGTTAATTTACAATAGCATCAAACATAATAGAAAATGGCTATAACCCAGCTCTGCTAAAACTCAAGGACAATTTGAAACTCAGGAGGTCTAGGCATGTCAAATTAAAGAATTAAGATTCTTGGGTTCATTTTTGGTATCTTGCGGTGAACCTGTGACATAATATATAGTAATGGTATTAAATTTCAAAGCCTTACTAGTTACTAATAAATGTCAGGTCCAATCTAAGAAACCATGCTTCTGTTCAACCATTTGGATGGCACTACTGATGCTACTGCACTATTCCAACACGCTCTAAGCCATGTTTCTTTTTGTAATCCATCAGTAGCATTACCATATGACCATTCCAAGCTTTCAATTCTTACTAAATACAGAGAAAGGCTTGCATCCAGTTTCTTAATCCAAATCATTTTTCTGGGAAATGTATACATCATCACTAAACAAGACCCTCACTTTCACGGGTATAAAGAGACTAAACATTAATAATGGGCTAATTCAGCAACAAAACCTTAAAAGTGGGAAATTTTCCTAATAGAGAATGCAGGAGTTAACATTTCCCATCATGGGAACCTTGTCAGCACCGCCAGCTAGAAACAACAAGGTTAATATACTAGTCATTCAATCAGTATTTATCCTACCTAACTATCATAACAACGGAAAGTACATTATAATTCTGAAAGCAACATGGACGGAAAAATTAATAATATATCACTGAATTTCCAGACATTTACTTCACTTTGGTGTCAGCGTCAAAGCATCAAGTCATGTAATAAAAGCTTTCAACTTCTCCAGCAGAGAAGACTTGAATAAACCTTAAATGGTGAAAGCCTCAACGCCATCTACATTTATTAAGCACCGCCAAGTTCCTATATCTAACAAATCACGACTATATTTAATAAAAGAAATTAACTGCCTCAGTAAAATCTCATTTCTTTTACCTCATAAAAAAAGAGTCCAGTAATTTACAGGGTTTTTTTTTTCTCTTTTTTAACTAACTTACCAGAAAATGAAGTGATCCAATCACATCGCTTTAACGGTTCAGATAACACCGGAGAAGGTTCCGCAACAACCTCGTCAGCTGTTGGAGCAACTTTGGCTTTCACCGGCTTCACTCCGATTCGTTTAACGGTTTTCCTAGAGCTTACCGTTTTGACGGAGGAATTGCTTGAAGAAGAATCCGAGGAACATGAACTGTCGACGGAGACGTTGCTCTGGACAACGGACTGTGGGCTCTTGGAAACTGGAAATTTCAGTCTTTGTGGCTTTTTTAGAGCTTCGGGTTTCCTCTTTGGCTCGTCCGAAACCCTAACTCTGTTCCCGGTCGGACCGAGAATCGCTCGCGGTTCCGTCACCGTTGTTGGTGATGACTTAAGCTTAGTGGCCACGGACATTGTTTCGAAAAGTGAGAAATCTTCAAATGTAAGCTGTTTCTGGACCTGATTTGTGCTCCAAGAACATTAAACTTTAATTTATACACCAAAAATTGGAAATTTCTCTGGATTTTCTTCGTTTGAAGTGGATAGAGAGAGAATCACTGAGCTTTTGGAGGGTAAAACAGTAAAGAGAGTGCGAACAGAGTTAGGGAGGTTCTGAGAGCAGAGAAGCAGAGCACTGAGGAAAGGAGAGGAGGAGCTGTGAGCGAAGAGCAGAGAAAACACCAAACGACGGTAAAAGCCAGAGGGGTTCTCGAAGGTTTTTAAAAACTAAATACCTGTAATGGGTACGGTACCGGTTTTAGGCGGTGATTTGCCCGCGTGTCGGTCGCCTTTCACCGTTTTGGTTTCGGAAGGGATTTGGATTTTATGTTAAAGTACCAAATTTGCCCTGCATAGTGTCGCTTAAGATAACCAACTGCCACACTTTGCTTCTTGTTGCATCGAAGTCCCATGAAAATTTGGCAACATGCACCAGCACAATTTTTGTCTTCAAATGGTTTAATAGTAATTTTAGACTCAATAATTTAAGAATTTCAATAATAAAATTAACATGCATACATGAAAAGATAAAAAGAAAGTTAATATTCATATTTAAAACACTGTGAAGATTTTTATTACTAATTAATTAACTCAATTAACAATTAAAATTATTAAATGACTATTTTATGTCATAATTAGTAAATTTCACTTTATACATACATATATTTTTATTGAATTTATATCATTGATAAGGTAATGGGTATTATATTTTACATAATGATGTAATCTTACTTTATATTTTATACTAATTTTCATTTGTCAAATATTTTTTAATATTCATATCAATAAGATTTCCTCGTCACTTTTCAATTTTAAGTCATAATATTATAAAACACCATTAAAGTTTTGTCATTGATTGTATTACTCAATTACCAAATAAAAAATTATTACACAGCTATTTTACTACATAATTAATATATCTAACGTATATGTATATATTAATTATTAGTTTAATTTAAATCATTGATAAAGTGAATATTAAATTTATATATATATATATATATATAAAACTTTTGGTATATATAATGAAATAAATTTCTATTATCATTCCAATGTAATAAAGTAAATTAAGCTCAAAAGATATAAAAGATAATTCATGATTGCATATGCTAAGCTCTTTTAGTTTTTCTTTTTGATGTTTAATCATGAAAATTTATCTCATGATCAAATCTAATGATCACCATTGATTATGGATTAGTGTGGAGATTATCATCGTTGTCATAATTTGTAGAAACCCAACTTTCTTCTAGTGGTTGAATGCAATGCAATGGGGGTCAAAATGGTAATTTTAATGGACGAGGCAACCGGTTGAAGCAAAGGGGCAAAAAGCCTTTAGGCGAAAGGTCGTATTCAGTTGGTGATGTCAAACGGGTGGGGAGGTGTCTGGCGAGTAGTAGCTTTGCAGGGAAGTTCCTTACCGTTGAGACAAAGAATCCAAAGTCGCCTCCGCCACCACAAAAATGATAGAAGGTAACTTTGGTGGGTAACTAACGGCTGTTTGACCTGGTCCACCGGCTTTCACGGATTGGGCCACAATTATAGAGGCCCATTAATTGATCCAGTTCAAACCCTACTTAGTTTGGAATTTGACCCAGATTGAAAGACGGACTCTGGACGGGTTTATGGCCCAAAGGCCTAAATATAGTTCAGATAGCACTTTGCGCGGGTTTGGCACACATATCAATAATAGCCGCCAAGCCGCCGTTTCGTCGCTGACATTGGACAGTTAACTCCTGCAACTCTTAACAGTATATAAACGTTGTCGTTCGCTGCCTATAAATTATGAATTCTCCCATTCTTTTTCACTCTCCGTCGACCCTCGCCTTGCCTTGCCGTCCCATATTCTCCTTCTTCTTCGTCTTGCCTTTTCTCTCTCTGAACCGCCATGGATTCGAAAGCTTCAACCGTCGCTCCAACCCAGTCAAAGCCTAAGGAAAAAGACTTCCTGAACCATCTCGAAGCTTTCCTCGCCAAGCGAGACGGCGTGGACAAGCTCCTCAAAATCTCTCGTTACGCCACCAAGATCATATTAGCCTCCTCGGTCCTCCCCGAAACGGTCCCACTAACTCGCCGACTCAAGAGCTTCGAGTCGAGCGTCGGACTGAGTCGGAAAGCGTTTCGACTCGGGAAATTTGTTCAAGACGTCAACGCTCTGAGAAACTCCCATTTGGATTCGAAGCAAGAGATTTTCCTCTCAATCATCGCCTACGGCGGCGAGGGTTTGTATTATTTCGTCGAACAGTTTATTTGGTTGGCTAAATCAGGATTAATCGACGCCAAACATTCTCGCAATTTGCAAAAGCTCAGTGCTTGGGCTGAGTTCATTGGGTACATAGGAAGTATTAGCCTTAAATTTAGGGATTTAAAGAGGATTAATGAGGATGAGGCGTGTTTGAATTCGAGTATTGAGATTGCGGTTTCGAGAGGAGTAGGCTGTAAGGAAGAAGAAGAAGAAAGGAGAAAGAAATTGAGAGAAAAGAAACTGATGAAGAAACTTTCAATTGTTCAAGATTTGGCTGATGTGTTAATGGCGTTGGCTGATATTCTAGACGGCAAAGGAAGGTTTTCGGATCCTCTTGTGGTGTCTTGCGCTGGACTTTTATCGGCTCTCATTAGTACCCATAAAAATTGGGTTTCTTGCTAGGTATAATCACAGGGAACTTGGTTTTCTTTTCAATTATTATTATTGAATCCTGAGAAGAATTTGGGTTCTCTTGATTTACATTTCTTTTTACTAATAAATACATATACAGGCAATGGATTGATATGAATTTGTGCTAAGTTCACTCATGAATTAATAATATAGTTGTTGACTATTCCAGGTCACTGAAGCTTGGTGTTTGTTAATGAATTTGAATGTTAGTATATCTATTTGATCTGACTTAGTTTACATGTGTTTGAATTGATTAGTTAGAAGCAAATTCTTTTTATGGATACCATGTTAGCTCCTCTCTTAAGCTCTAGTCAACATTATCATTGACATGGGACATTGATTTCCCCTGCTGACTTTGCCTTCACATTATCCAGTTCAAGTTAAAAACTGCTTTCTTTACTTTGTGTAGCATTTTTTAGTATCAAGTAAAGGAAAATATGTTATGATTGTGTTTATTCATCTGTTTTGCCCCTTTCTAGTTCATTGATATCTTAGTGCAAGTTCTCAAGTAATGAGTGGTAGAGCTTGATGGAATTAAAGGCTCTTGCATGGATTGTTCTTTGTTGGATCTTAATCCTTTCAACATTAGTAACTTTGTTATTTGAAGTTGGATATTGACTCTCAATCTCAGAATTCGCAGTTCCCAGCTACTAAATCCATCTTCCATCGAATTTTAATTAATTAGCTCTAGATGTTCCGTTAGAATATTGAAAACCAAAAACCATTTCAAGATTATAACTATATCCGATGCTCATTCGGACATGTATTATTAACAATAAACCCCTGGTTTTGTAGTTTGTACCTGGTAGATGGTCAGATAACAGCATAGTATAATGTGGAACGGTATACGCTCGTTGCCATCAAACCATCAACATCCTGAGCTTAGTTAAATTTTTCTACTATTTTCTGCTCAAACATCATCCGAACGGTGACCTGAATGCATTGCAATGAAGTTAACGGCTGCCATTTGTTTTCCCTTCTTCAGTGTGAAATCTGCTTTATTTATAAACTATTCTCATACCGCAATAAGGATTACATGGAAACTAAAGTAGAAAGATTTCGATAACTCGTTTTCATATCTTAAAGGTATACCACCATGGATTGCAAGATTATAGAAGGTATAGTTTCAAGTAAGATCATGGTGTTCTTCTTTGTTAAGCTGGTCGGAAGGTTAATTTGCTCCATATGGCTTAATCATTCATGTATGTTAGAAGTGACACGAGTGTTGGAACCAGGTCTCTCTTTGGGGCATTTCTGTCCTGAGCCCCAAGGTTTACTCATGGTTGGGCCTTGAGCTTAATGTAGCAAGATTCGTTTGGATCCTCAGGCTTACCATAGCGCTTTGGGTTTATTTTATTTAACTAAAGGGTGATTACGTGAGGCTGCTAACACCATCTCTTTCTTGATAAGTAAGAAAAACTTTCTCGAAGTGAAGCTGGAAAGAGACAGAACAGATTATTGTTGGTTTGTGGAAGGAGCTCTCGTGGCTTCAGTTAAGGTTGCTTGGCTAAGCTTATTAAGGCAAAAATAAAACAAGAACCAAACTAAATATGCAACTACACGCAATTCGTCAAATTATAATCAAGCGTAGGTATTAAAAAAAACAATGCTGGAGAACGGAAATCGATTCGTTACGTGGCCAAATCTGCCACGAAATCTGTGTTTGGACACGTGGCGGCCGATGGAACACCGGATCCAAACGGAAAGTCCTCCCGATCAACAACACGTGGCGTAGTCTAAGTGACCTTAGGACGAGGATTATCCAGTAGCTGTAGAAGGTGCCAAGGGCGATCCCGTTGTACTCTCTCGACGTTGGTATTGGAATCAAATCAAACGGTCAACGTCATCGGCATTCCATCGAACGGCTATTGGTTGCATCTTGATCGGACCCACCTTTCCCTTCCTGAACGCTCCAAGTCGAAAGCACATCCCAGTCCGTATTCATTTTTTTATTTTTTCAATTTGGGCGCATAAGATTCCCAGCATACCTGGCCTTCACGAGAGCGCTGGTGGAAGGTAGTAGAGACCATGACGCTTTTCCCAGATCTACAAAAAGCCTTCCTTTTACTCCCTAAAATCTCCTTTCTTCCTCCAGATGTTCCTAAAAGGATACAAAATGCCTATCCAATCCAATAATTTTTACCTCTAAATAAATAAATAAAAAATCACGGATTTTTTTTTTTTTACATAGAGAAGAAAATTATTTGGAACTCCCTTGTTTTCCAAATCGTTAGGGTTCTTTCGGAAGTTTAACATGGAGTCCGAACTCAAGGACCTCAATTCAAAACCAGCCAAGACGTCTCAAAAACCCGACCCGACCCACGACGATGGCTCCACCAAAGACGACCGACCCCTCCTCAAGTCCGACTCCTCATCCGCCGATACCAACATCCAGGGGCTCGAGAAGAAATTCGCTGCCTATGTACGCAACGACGTGTATGGTACCATGGGACGTGGCAAGCTCCCATTGGAGGAGAAACTCCTACTGGGCATCTCCCTTGCCACTCTGCTCCCTCTGCGTATCGTTCTGGGGATGACTGTTATAGTTATCTATTACTTGATTTGTAGAGTTTGTACGCTGTTCTTGGCCCCGAATCGGGAGGACGAGCAGGAGGATTACGCACACATGGGCGGGTGGAGGCGAGCCGTGATTGTTCGGTCGGGCCGGTTTTTGTCTAGGGTGATGCTTTTTCTGGTAGGATTTTATTGGATTGCTGAAACTCATAGAGATTCAGCAGATACTCAAGAGAACTCAAAAACTGAGGTATGCAATCTTTTTTTTAACTCATTTTTAAACTTTAGTTATCAAGCCTTGTTTCATACTCGAATTGAATAGCTTTAAAGAGAATATATATGACTTCAATTACCCAAACTCCCAAACTTTAATCAATGAACATTGGCGTAAAAAAGGTAGTGATTTCTCGATCAACATTATTTGAATTTTTCTATTTTTGGGTGCTTGCATTTTCTTCAGGGTACCAATCAATCAGAAGAGCAAGAAAGACCTGGGGCAATCGTATCGAATCACGTGTCGTATTTAGATATCTTATATCACATGTCCTCTTCTTTTCCAAGCTTTGTTGCCAAGGTCTGTTAACTTAGCCACTCTTCTAGTTTTAATTATCCTATAAAAGGTAAAATTGTGATGGTTTAGCTGACATATTTCTGGTTTGGTTTTGTCAATCACAATCTTGGATTTTATTGCTGAAGAGATCAGTAGCTAAAATTCCTTTAGTTGGTCTCATCAGGTGAGTCTATTTTAACCTCCTAAATGTCTCCCGTGGTTTGATTCAAAAGAGTGCGCAATTTGGTTGTCATTATTAGCTTTTTGTTTCTTATCAAGTTGATAAGTTCTTTCCCCATTATAGTAGAACATTTGTACTTTACTTGACACCGAAGTTCTTAATCAACTAGATTCCTAGCTTATGTTACAGCAATGTCTAGCGTGACCTGTTTATATCTGAATGCAAATCTTTATTTTCGGGAATGAGCTTGATGGCTATATATTTCTTTTGTTCTGTATACCACCACTTCTCATCCTTTCTCTATGTTGTATGCTGAATTCTTTTGTACAAATAAATTGGTTCCGACTGGGGTGTTGAATGATATTTTGGCTTGTTTCTTACAGCAAATGCCTTGGTTGTGTCTATGTTCAGCGGGAGTCAAAATCATCTGACTTCAAGGGTGTTGCAGGTAAAAGACTGTTGATTTTCATATGTTCTTCACCACTTACTATTGGTCAAAAGTGCAAGGTATAACTAGTCTCTCTTTCAGGTGTTGTGACTGAAAGAGTTTGTGAAGCTCATCAAAATAAATCTGCTCCAATGATGATGCTCTTTCCAGGTTAATCATCTTCTTGATCCAGTATATACATTTGTCACATGGTTCAATTCATGGGGTATGCTGTGCCCAAATAATGATACGTTCTATGTGCATCTGTAGCTGATATTTCGTATCAGTCTAAGCTTCTGTTTTTCCTATGCCTTTAAATTCCCAATTAGTAACAACTGTTTGATTCATATTCATTTTGACAACAGAAGGAACAACAACAAATGGAGATTTCCTTCTTCCATTCAAGACTGGTGCATTTTTGGCAGGAGCACCTGTGGTGCCAGTTATATTAAGGTATCCATATGAAAGGTTTAGTCCGGCCTGGGATTCAATATCTGGGGTGAGTATTTCTTAAGCAAATTCAAGATGGCTTTCTGAATTTTTTAAAATGAGTCTTATTTGATCTATAATTAAGTAGCTGTTGAATGCCTGCAACTGATTACTTGATATCGAAGATTAATGCATGAGAGACGTTGGTTTGTTCCGTTAGTTATGAGGTGATGCTCTCATTATTAGGGGTCTCTGATATGAGTCATTTGTGTGCAGTAGAGTTGATATAGGATATAGGAATTCTGTGTTAGTTACATTGATATTCTAATGATGGTTTGGAGTTTCCTTAGTACATTTGTATTAAATCTGATAAGTAATTACAATAAGCAATGTTTGTTCCTGTAATTTTTCTTGGGTTTATTGGAGAAGTTTACTGAAGAATTGCTTAAGAGGAAAGACAACAATGTGCTTAGATAAATCAAAATGGAAAAACTGGCAAAATGTTATTAAGATGGATGGTTATTTGGAAAATATAAGTATGATTTATTTGCCCCTGCAAGAAAACGTTGAAAATGTTGTGAATAATTTTTATGATAAGTATTTTTTGTATGACATTTTTTCCCTAGTGGTTTTAATGTTGTTCTATATTCTTGTTTGTAGGTGCGTCATGTGGTTTTTCTTCTGTGTCAATTTGTAAATCACATGGAGGTAACACGGTTGCCTGTCTACTACCCCTCACAGCAAGAGAAAGATGATCCAAAACTATATGCTAATAATGTCCGAAGATTGATGGCCAGTGAGGTATGCATATACTATCAACTTGTCTTTGGGAAAGATGTAAAATTTGGTCATGTTTGTTGGAGCCTCTTAGATATGTCTCCTATCATCTCCATGGTCACGATAAAAGCTAAAGTAGGGCCTTTTAAGAAATGTGCAATCATAACCAGTTAAAGACAAATGTTGCTCCATTGACAGTTATCAGATATCATTTATCTATTTCTTGTGCCAAGTGGCTGCTAATATGCAGAAGAAAAACCATCTAGTCTTATATCAAGATGATACTATTACTTAAATCGCCGTTCATTTTAACTTGAGTTTACTTTCTGTTTGCTTTTTGACTGCAGGGTAACTTGATACTGTCAGATATCGGACTGGCTGAGAAGCGAACGTATCATGCTGCTCTCAATGGTAATAATAGCCTGCCTAGTGTTTTGCATCAGAAAGACGATTGATAATTTCTTGGCCTTGCTCCCAAATGATATCTAGTCTCAGTTGAGTTTTACTTTGCACCGGTATTTTCATGAATGCACAGACAAACCAAGGGGGTGGTTTCTCTTTCCCCATTTAACTCAAAAAGACGCCATGTGCAGTTATATTGTAACTTCTTTATTCATGGGAACTGTGGCCACTAGATACGGTTTTAAGTGTGCTTATAGAACATTTAGTCAGATTATCTGCTATTAAGAGACTCCTGGGCATTGTTGTCATAAAATACACATTAACAATAAGTTGAGTATATAGTGCCCTTGAAAAAACTTGCATATAGAGCTATGCATCTGTAAATCTGAAGTGTCTCTTTCGTGTTCCTGCAGGTTTGTTTTGTCAAAGCTAATTTGGATTCGCCATCTGTATAGTCATTGTATGATTCTATTATTTATGCAAAAGATTAAAATTATTTAAAAAACTCCTAAGCAGGACAAGAGATTTTATTGTCATCAGTTGGAAATATTTTCCCTGGAGCTAAGCTGCCCGTCTTAAAGCAAGCCTTTGATGTCTGTCTATTCCTCTTCCGTTACTAGAGATCCAGGAAAGTTTAATTGTGTTAAGTGGAGGGAGCATAGCGTTCTTGCTATTTAAATGCTTTTGCCATTTCAGAGGCATGATTTATAAAGTGCATGGATGAGGGACAAGGGGCTCTTCCTTGGTTGCGGATGCTTTTTCCGGTGCTCTGCTGCCACATTCATGTGATGAATCTTGAATTCTTCGTAAGTCTTGCATAAGCATAGTAATGTGTATAATTCAGGGTCTCCCGGTGCAAGATGGGATCAATTTGTGTGAACATTTGTACATTGGGAGGTTTAGATCATAGACATTGGAGGCAGCCTCCGCGAACCTGACATGAATTTGCCATATTAAGCAATCCACTCATTGATGCACTTCTTTCCATGGTTCACCCAAAGACTAAAGGTTCTTCCCGAGATTTTCTTAGTTGGGGTTCATAATCGGGTTTGGTGTCACGGTTTTTGATCTAATGAACAGTCAGACTTGAAATGCATAATTCTCCTCCGAGGTCGAGACATTTGGGATATGAGTCTAAATCAGTTCTAGCTCCCACCATTATGGGCTGCTATGTGCCGATTACCAGCCCTTAATCCTACGTTGGATTTTAACAAATTAAACAATTACATTGTCGTGCGACACTGAGAGACCAGAAAATATATACTACTTTCTCTAATCGTTGATGATCTGTGTCATCACCAGAACCCTGCATTGATAATACAACGGCCTACTTCGGATAGGAACGGATCAGCATCTTATAAAAATTTTAACAACACATTAGTGTTACAGAGATGACAACCTACTCCACAAACTAGAAAGACAACTCCTATAGAAATCTTCAACTATTAAAGCTTATGGAGCTTGCCTGCTGAACATTCACTCAGATGCCAAAGGAAACCCCATCCGGCTGTCTCTCACCTTTCCTTCAGTAAAACATTGTTCGATCTTTTTGATTCCCATGGCGGTAGGCAGCCTCTTAAGGGTGATTGTATAAGTAATGAAGACTTCTGTCGCATTGACACCGAAGATAGGCAGCTGAAGGTGCATCTAAGCCTCCTTCGCTCACTATCATATGGTTGATAATTTGGATCGTGCCGCACAACAGATGTCTTAAGGGCTTCGGGAAGAATGCAGTTGCACATTGAACCTAAGATTAAAAAGATGAGGTAAGTTATTGGAATCATGGACATATCAGAGGGATAAGGAATGCAACAAGAAAACTAGTATTCACCATATCAAGAAACTGCTTGAAACAAACTCAGCTTTGCGTTAAGTGATATAAGAAATCTCGCTAGTGGTGGGATGTTGTAAGCGTACCTATTTTAGCCAGTCGATTTACCCATTTAGGAATGTGTTTCCCAGTAAGCTTGTGACAAATATCCTTGCAGAAATGGTTGCAATTCTTGACGATCAAGTGATATGTATCTCCGTTGTACCTTGCCGAATTACGCTCCATGAATTCCCTTACTTGGATTGGGTCCAGTGACGTGGTCCCAATGAATATTGACTTCCTGAACTTGAAGCCCGGGCATTGTCGTGGTTCAACCTCAAATACACCACTGGTTGGATAGTCATGAGCTCCAAATGCATATTCGACGCCATGAACTGTACAGTGTGGGTTAGGATCAGAAAAGCTAAACTAGGACTCAAAAGCAGATAACAATATTATGCGAAAAGAATTGTTAAGTCCATCTTTCGCATATTAAATTTAAGTGCACTGAATGATATTATGAATATAAGAGGGCAAAAGCATACAGTAAACTTAATCAAGCCTACCTTCCACACCAGAATGAAAGATACCAAGGCCTGCCCAGTAGAAATAGCCATTCATGGGTGTTAGGTCATACACATTGAGATACACTGGTGCACTGCCCGGATCAAAACTAGCTGGCTTCACCTTTGGAAACAAACAACGAGAGGCTGATTTGTTCTTCAAAAGACGTGGCACCACAGATTTCCATCTCTTCTTTGATTGAAAATCCATATTTCTTCAATGGTAAGACCAGATTTCAATTAATGCCTATACCACCTGGGGAAAAATTAGCAAGAATTAGCTATTTATGCAAAGTACATTAATCATGAGAGAGGCAAAACCAAGAGAGCAAAGGGATACTGGAAAAGAAGAAAAGGAGATTAGAGACCAAATGTGTCTTAAAGACGTAACTACAGATTACAGCAATTGCAGTCTTTGTGTTGGCATTTGAACACTCTAAGCAGAATTCAATGCTTTCACACTCAAAGATTGCAAAAGAAGGTCTAGTTATAGCACATCACATCTTTAAAAGTATTTTTATAACTAAGACAACACGTTGGGTGGAGATATCATAATAATTTGTAATCGAGGTTAAAACACTTAGCAAATAAAAGCAGCATATCCATTGTCATGAACTTAACATTTCAGATATCCCTTAGTTTCATCTACTGAAATTTGAGATCCCTCTAATGGAATTCAACAACAAACATCGAGCATCAGAACTCGTCCCAAGCATGTTAAGGGTCATCTAAGATTCAAGAGGTATGAATTTTGCTCCACACAGAATGAATGAAACAAGTCAAAAACAAAGAGAAGCATACTGCTTCATCATAGGACAAAGATTGATTGTAGAAACCATCCTTATCATCATTAATAATTAAACAATTTGGAAACAGTTTATAAACTCAAAAAGATAATAATTATGATTAACAACAGTGACAAAGAGAGAAAAAGAAGTAAGGCTCAAGCCAAAAGCTTCAACAATCCTAAGTTCCAATCCAACAACTTGAAAAATGGCGAAACCAACGTATAAAAAATTGGTTAAACACTAATCAAAATATAGCATACAAAACTCCAAAGCTAGCTAATTAACCCTTCATTTCAGATAGAAACTACACAAATACCACAACTTTCCCTCAAAACTCATTTTCTTTTTTGCTAGGAAGATAGAAATCGCAGAGCCAGGAAGAAAAGAACAAAAGAAACCCAATACAGCATAATTCAAACTTAGCAATGAAAAGAAGTTAAAGGTAAAATTTTAATAAGAACAAAAATAGTAGGTTTTAGCAGCAAGTTCAACCATCAAAGTCCTGCATTTTCCCATATTCATCTCCGGATGAGCTAGATATTCAATGCATTACTCAAAACACATTAAAATTGTCTTATATTATTATGTTTGGAAAACAAAAAAAAAAGGGGTAATCTTAATTGGTCCTCCATGAAAAGCAAGAAGTGGGAAAAAGGAAAAGAGAATAGATTTCATAAGGAAGAAGAGAATCACTTCAGATCTACTCGAAACCGTTCACAACCAAAAGGAATATGAAAAGAACAGAAACTAAAACAATAAATCAGACAAAACAACAACAATGTAATAGATCAGACAGATTTAAAACCTTAATTCCAACCAATGATCCTACCCAAAAAAAACAAAGAAAACATTTTTTGTTTCCAAAAAGAAACAAAGCGAAGAGAAAAGTGGAAAACAGAGATCCTACAGATTCAGAGAAGAAGGCCAATTAGCGTCCAACGAAAACCAACCGCCATTACAAAAAATCGAAGCCAGCTGGCATTTGAAACGACTATGGGTGGTGAACGGAGGAAAAACAAAAGAAGAAGATGATGCTATAACAAATGAGAGAATGATAAGCTCGAAGCCCCCTTTTGAAAACTGGAAAGCTCTCAAAAGGATTAAAAAAGAAGACGAAGAAGAAGAAGAATTGGCAAAGCCATATTCTTTCTCTCTTTCTTTTTCTTCTTTCGGTCTCTCCCTTCTCTCTCTCTCTCTCTCTCCCAATCTTCCTTTTTTATTTTTCACCCCGCTGCTCAATCACTGCCAAGCTTTCTTTCGGATATATTACTGTTTTTTCACTTTTTCTTTTCTTTTCTTTTCTTTTTTTTCTGATTCCCCTGCCAAGGAAAAGAACATGGTTTTTTACTTTATTTTATTTTATGTTATTTATTTTAATTACACATAAAGTACTAATTTCGATTCTATTGAAAACTACTATTCCCCACTTTTTGTCTTTCTCTCATGTAGAATATTTTATCTACACTTTATCTTATCAAGTACTATACTAATACATTTTCATTATCAAAACCCTTTTTTAGTACAATTGGAACTAATAAATTACCATAATATTTCTTTTTTTTATTACAAACATGCTTAATTACAGATTTATGATGAGATTTGATGTATTAGTGTTAATATCATTGAAAACAATTAAATTTGTCACATTAATTAAAAAGTTTACACGAAAATAATAATTGATTATAAATTATGTATTTTTTTAAAATTTTTTGAGTTATCTCATAGGTGGGAAATCAAAATCATGTTTTTTTTTGTTAAATAGTATTTTTATAACTTATCCTAATATGCTATTTGGAAAAACAAAGCTCATCTAAATAAAAAATTTTCAACTTTCTATTAATTGGACATGTGGTGGGGCTTAGCTTAATGGGCCAATTAATACGTATAAATAAAATCTTAGGGTTGTCTTCGGTTGGGATATTATTAGTAAATTGAGAAATCTTTTCAATTTTCTTATATCAGAAAAAGACAAGTTGGAGAAATTATGAAAGACAGCAAAGTTAGCAACAAGCTCGTGCAAGTATTAATTGATTTTTATTAAATATATACATAGATTTTTTATTTTCACTTCACACATGTCTTTCTCATAGGATGCTGACACACGTGTGTGCCACCTGCGGCATCCGGTAGTTTCCAGCAGTTTGTCCCCGCATTAACGTGAGAGATCCCTAGCTGTATATGAGGAAATTGAGTTGACTTCATTTTCCGACCAATCCCATTCCCTTCCACGTCTTCATATGTTCCAAACGCGTAATGACGACAATAATACGAGGATAATTTCCATTCTATCCCCTTTCTCTATTTGAAATTACGGTAAATTTTATCTTTATCCTCCTAATTTTGAATTTTTCACATATTATTTATGCTTTTTTAATTAATCTTTTATAGATAAATTTTACTTTTGAAAAAAGTTACCTTGATAATTTATCTTAACAAAATTTTTTAAAAATAGAATTTATGTACAAAAATTAATTCAAAATGTGAAGAGAGCAGACAGGATTTACTTTTTAGAATTTTATAGGAATACAGTCGAACCACCCTTTGTATGATTTATTTAGAGGATGAGGAATCAAGAATGGGTCTAGCAAGTTAGATAGATGGATTCATGATTCATGAAATTCATATCCAATGACAAGAACATTATTATGGTTATACAATTATTTGTCTAGGTCTATACTCCATAGTGGCAATTAAAGACAAACACTACAGATAGATAGCCTAATAGAAAGAAAGAAACAATGCCAGCTATTCCTTGCAGAGAGGTACAGTTTCTTCTTTTTTTTCTTTTTTTGTGGCTTGTGTGTCTACCTCTTTAAAAGGCTTTCATGTGTCATCAATATTTCCTTTTCATGACTCTACTTTACTTTACCATGCTAGCCTTTCTTCCTCTCCCCCTCCTTTTCTCTTGAACAAATAGGGAATAGTACCATGTTATTCAAACAGCATAGAAGTTTGTACAGTAGATTTGGTGTAATTTAGTTGTCCAAGACAAATCCCATGCACTAACTTGTCATGATCACTTCAAGGTTATTATTACTGGTTCAAATAGGTAAAAATGTAAAAAAGAAAAAAAGTCAATAAGTTTTAAAAAAAAAAACTCTACTTTTTTTCAAAGTTTTTACTGTAAGCACAAAAGGAATGGGCACAGGGTTAAGGTACAAAAATTCTGGCTCAGGGTCGTGTGGTAGTGCCGAAGAAGACAAATGTTTTTTCCACAAGGGGGATAAAACGACAAGTGAGTCATGGTCAAAACGCATGAAAGTTGGGGAGAGTGAGAAAGGGGTAAGAGATATCTGACCCCTCCCCACGCATTGGTGCAGGCTCTGATCACATGAAGCCAATATGCACCCTACCTGGTGGACCCTCTCTTTCCATCATCTCATCATAAGTTTTTCCGTTTAATTAAAGGACTGGAATAATGGATAATCCTTTTAAAATTCGATTTCCATGATTTTATTAGTAATGCTTCTCACGTTGTAAGTCAGTGGTCATGATGTGGTACCCAACTGGAATGTTATAGATTTCATTTCAAAATAAGAGGAAACAGGAAAGACAAGTTCCCATTTTGTTCATAATTCAATGGCCAATACAAATACCAGCAGTAAACAAAACAGTCTGTGTTTCATGGTCTTAAAAAGGAGTCGTGAATTCATATCGACTGTGTATTATCGAGAGATTTAATAAGTTAATACAGACATTGGTATAGATCGTGATATCTCGAAGATCTTTTCATCTTTGTGTAAAGATGGTTGTAAAAACTGCACTTGTTTTGTTGTTGTTTGGCTATGCCAGGAAGGCTGGTAAATTGAACATGAAGGATTGACCAACCGTACTCCACCTTTATATTCTTTTTAGGCGACAGTGTTCAAACAACAATGACCAATGTGCACAATCCCTTTCACTTTTCTCTGTGCTAAACTGCGAATGAGAATAGGTCCAAAGGACGTGAAAAATGAATCAAGCAATGGTCTTGTGTGGCATGGGCTCAAATGATTACTAGATTTTGAATTCAAAAAGAAATTCCGACCAAAAGACAAGTAGGTAAAGAAAGGAGATCAGGCTGGGGACTCAAAACCCCATTTTTCTCCCCCATGGAAAGTGGCTGTATCTCCCTTCTTTTTGCTTATTCTTTGAGTGTAACACTGAACAACCTCGTGGGAAACTTTGGGACTTTGTCAAACCTAATCTTCAGGGTATTCCAAATATAGGGTGTGGGATACAAGTGTTTCCAAGGTGTTACCAGACTTACACAACCTATAAAGAAAACAAGATGGATTAATCCTGTGCATGCATTCCACTGACACTGAGCACGTAACTTTGCATCCTTTGTCTGATTGATGGAAACGTGGCGTTCGAGCAAACAGTGAATCAGACCGAACCAAGTGAGTTGAAATGAGTCCATGCATCCTGAAATTGCAAGAGGTACTAATGAGAGGGAACATGCTGAAACCAAAATTTTGTCTTACGACCATGGATGCTTAAACATAAGCACATGGAAATATTTGACATGTCTTGTTTTGGTGATAGTTGCAGCTTAAGGGTTCTTCCGAGGTGAAAAATTATGCTGGCTAAAAGATTAACAAGAGCCTAAACTTGACCAATATGTATGCTATTTGTCCAGATAAGAAGAAATGCTGGCCGGCTAAACAGATTGTGGGCGAACAACCGGTCATCCCATGTGCATGAAATTTCAGCTTGTAAAGGTCCAGTTGTCAAAACTTGTTGATTGTTTGAAGTACAATTATTGGTATGAAACAGATTTGGTAGGGCAGCACCAGCACGATGGACAACTTTCTAAGTTGTTCTTTTACTTCTATAGTCACCAAGAATTTCTAGACATGATGGCAATTTTCATGACAGTACAAATATGAAAGACCATTAAGTAAGAATTATAAAGATAAGTTCTCTATCAGATCAAAATGACACCATTTAAAGAAAAGAAGTAATAAAAACATATCACTAAATGTTTACACAAATTTATGCATTACCTGCAGAATATCGAATACTTTTTCTGCAATGTATTTCTGGTCCGAGGCAGCACCCTTCTGCTGTAGCTTATCCGGATGTAGACATAGTAAAGCTTTTTGGTATGATCTTTTCACAGCAGGTCCTTCAATTATGTCAACAAGAGGAACTGTCGTCCAACCACTACCAGGCCAAAGAACCTGTGTATACAACCCATGTTAGTCTTTCACAGACAAAAGAAAGTTCTTTACTTTGGCCTCAAGATCACAGAAAATAATTCCGATAATTTGTTTCCCTTGATGAGTGAAAATATTCCTTAATCCTGGCCAAAAGAGGATCTCTTACCACTCTTTATCCATGTTAAGACCAGTTTACATGGGGTGACTTCCTCATTGAAATATTGAAACAGATTGACGCACAATAAAATGTAATATCCCTGGCAAACTGTGTAACTTTCATCCTATGTGACTTTGCCTAAAGTTTTCAAATATTTTAGGGCATTTTCCCTTATTGAACCATGATATGTAAGTTACTGTTGACAAGAGGCAATTGTGAGTTCTATGTATTTAATGAGCAACATGAAAAATATTGGTTTACCCACTGACCAGCATGTTAAACTCTTTTCACTTCAGAAGTTAAAATCGAGATTCATGAAAAAAGATATAATTTCTTAGGTGCCCCAGAGAGTTGGGTAGTAATTCCGGGGAAGTTTACCATTGCTGGCCTGCATGCTCTTGGAGATTGACACGGGAGATAGCTTTACTTGAGAATAGATAATGATTGAAGTTGGTCCGTTACTACTTACATATTGTAAGGTTGACAACAGTGAACGAATATTTCCTTGCTTTCCATTGGACCATTGCCGTATTTTAGCATCAATGACCTGCATTAAATGAGTAGCCAGCTGAAAAATGTGAAGCAACATGGGTGTTTGTGCAGATAGTTATTTCTGTATTTAGTGTACTCTATGTTACCTGGATTGCTTCTGGATCAATGCCAAGTGGTGGCAAAATTTTAGCTTCTGGCGTCAGGTCTTCTATCTGTTCATAAGCCAAAGTGCACCAGCTCATTAGGGGTTCAGTTTAAAATTTCAGATTCTTAATACCATTGAAAGTATATGACTTCACCACAGTTTTCGAAATAGATAAATCACATACCAAAAAGTTTAGCTCAAATGACTCTGCTGGATCTTCAACAACAGTCTTGGAGCCATCAGAGACTGATGCCAACAGAATGAGTGGAAAATTAGTATTGAACATTTGAAAATTCATAGTGTACTAATTGA